TATTAATCAAAATAAATATCAAACATATTAAATATATTTTATATATTTTTAAGGTATTATTAAAAGATAAAAAAAACTAACTACTGTACTTACTTATAGATCAACACTTACAATCTAAACCTAAGTTGTAATTAGATTTTAAATATTGATTAAATATTTTGGTATTAAAGATTAACAGTTTGCCACTGTACCGTCCATCATTGTCTTATTCCTCCCAAAAGGGGAGGAAACAGTGATGATTTGGGTGAAGCAGATAACGGTGAAAATTCGAAGCTTCTTTTCTTTTTCTCAAAATTTCAAAGCTTGGTACTGATATTCTGGTTGGAATTCTAAACTTTCAGAGAAGGGAAAGAAAGAACTAATAAATTATTAATCTGATTAAAAAAAATTTAGATTCTTTTTAAGTATAACATGAAATTTAAATTTTATAAATAAAAAAACAAATGTTAAGATAATTTTTTTTTTTATAGAGTCCATAACTTGATGCAACTCGAAATCAAATTAATTGAAATCTAATCTAACGTGAGTTCTAAATATTAGAAGGTAAAAAACAAAAAAAAAAACATTTTTTTTTAATCTACGAGTTTATCTTACCCTGTGCTCTAAGTTGAATCTTGATGTTAAGGCCCAATAATTTCATAATAAAAGCAATTTAATGTAACCAGAATCGCTAAGGTCGCCGCAGGCGTAGTGGTTAAGACTGTTATATCCTTTGAGGAAGTGAGTTCGAACTTTATTATTGACAATTTTGTAACAAAATTTTCTCACAAAATTTTGTCCAACCATTGAACCAAACTACTCATACGGTTCATCAGTTCTTCCAGTTTTATTGATTACCTCTGATTTTGAGCAGTTTTTAACTACTTAAATGGTTTTATATATCTAATCCAACTGAATTTATAATTAGACACCAATTTAACCAATAAAACCGACCAGTTTAGTTTTAAAAAAACCCTAAATGGGTGTAAACTCAAGTAGTCTAAAAACTTAAGTTTAAATAAAATAAAAAATAGTAGTCTTTTAAGGAAAACAAAATAATAGTAGTAATTTATAAGAGGCATAAACGTGACCAACAACCTGTTAGTTCGAACGAAAAAAACTTGATTCTCCTTCAATAAGATCTCAAGTTTAAGTTTTGTGAATGAAAAAACAAATACTAAGAAAATTTTCTCCTAATAAGATCTAACGCAACTCGATTCCAAATTAGTTAGAATCCAATATAATTATCGAATATCGAGAAGTTATTACCAAAACAAATAACTACAAATCTACCCCTCAACTAGGAGATAAGCACAGATTTACCCTAAAAAAATAAAAATAAATCATTTTTTTAATTATAAATTAAAATAAATTACGTATTTTTAACTATGACATCATCTTTCTCTTAAAAAATACATAGGCGGACAAACATAATTCTAATGTCACATATAAAAAAATATAACAATTTATCTTAATTTATAATTTAAAAATACAATTTATTCCTATATTCTTTCGGAGTCCAACCTATTCCTACTTTTACTTATTTCATAAAAGTGTTCTTCCATTAAATCTTTAAAAAATCAAAATCTCTTCATTTTAAAATTAATAGAATAACAGATATTATTTTATTTTATTTTTAAATTAAAAATTTTAAAATAACTTTTAGTTTTACTTACTTTATTTTTAAAAAATAAAATCATTTCCATGATAAAAACGAGGAAGAATAATCAAAATTAAAAATAATTATAAGA